CAAATAGTATTTAGGTGGGCACAGAGGAAAGGTGGTCAGAACATTTATTTAACTGCCTATCCGTAATCCCAAAAATGATTAACTATAAAAACCCTACAGTTTAGCTTTGCAAATTAATCCTAATCTTAATGTTAAGGAATTTGATCAAATATAACTGATAATTTAAGGTATCAGTTTGGCTCAGTTGGTAGCTTTCGTCTTGGGGTCAGAAGGTTATTAGGACTTGAGAGCTTGTAGTCTAGCCTACCAGTCCATTGCATTACTGGGAAAATTGCATTGGCATGGATAATATTCCTTGCATTTGATATTGCATTCAATTGAATCGCATTGTCAAGATGTCCCAAAGCGTTTCACAGGATTTACTGTAAAGTGGTGTGACTGTGTATTCTGTGGATAACTGTCATTCACATGGAATGTACATTGCTTTTCGTTCAGGTGGTTGTGTAAGATGCCTGCTAGTGATAAAGCACAAGCCTCATTCCAGGCAATGCATTTCGCCCACAAATATACAGTCAATTCACTTTACAATCTATTCTGTGAAGCGCTTTGAGACGTCTAGAAGACATGAAAAGCGCTATATCAAATGCAAGGATTATATTATTTATTATAAAGTGTTTTAAGACATTTCAAACAAAGCAGGTGTTATAAAAAAATGTTTTACTGCAGTATCATCATATTAAATAATCTTCCCTTGAGCTTAATTGAAACTCTCCTTTGAGGATAATGTTGGATCTAATACTAACCGCTTACACGAGTGGTCTTTACCTTACCCATTTTAATAACACTTCCATTTTAATTGGATTCTAAGTACACAACAAAATGATTGCCAGAGATCGAAATCACATATGATAGTCTGCAGCATCATATTCTACAAATGTAAGATAATTTACCATTATCACCTCACCAATTGCATCTCTCTCTGCTTAATACAATTAAAATTAATAAAAGCATTTTGGTTAAAATCTAGATTGCAAACATTTATAATGCAATTTTTCCATGGCAACCTATTTGTTGGATTTTTGGCTGAGGTTTTCTTCTGGATATTGCCATTTATAAAATCCGCTAAAAAAAAATCAGGACATTTAGTGCCTCCTTTAAATCATATTCAAGAAATATGCAAGGTAAAATCTCCTGCTCCATAGCTCAAATGCTAATTTACAATTATATAAAAATAATCCTTATATTTGGTGTAGTACCTTTCACGTTAGGTGTACTTTCAAGTGTAGTGATTGTGCAATCTGTAGAACATGGCAGCCAATCAGTGCACAGTGACATCCCACAAATAGCCATGAAATGAATACTCAATTTTATCTGGAGGATTGTTGGTCAAGATTACTATCACCAAATTCAAAATGCAAAAATGCAAGGATTATCATGCCGTTACCAACATTACTTCCTGCGCTCCAATTGCGTGGGAATTTGCTTTGCAATACAGTATACTGTGCTCACAGCATATCTTATTCACAGTAGAGTGATGCTGGCAGTGACTTGATGACCTGGAAGGCGGACATTCTGAGCTCCTGGATGAGTAAAAACTGACTGACTTCCAGGGTAAGCAGATCACTCCAGATGTCACTTCTTGCTCTGAACAGTGATGTCAATGGTGAACTTATCAGCCAGGTCAGCTATTTTGGCTTCCTGCATTCCAGCTAGTTTTGCAGTGCAATAGAGTGGGCCTCTCTCTGTGCATGCGCGCAATGAATGTGGCAGCGCTGACTGGTCATCGCATTGAGTTATAGCGCTGGTTGGAATATTTTGGACCTCCTATATCCTCAACCACTATTTTATAATGTGGCTCTACAGGGTTATTTTTTATTGTGGAGTGTAATGCAAAAGGAAATTCCACATGCGAAAAATTGCTGAGCTCAGCATGCTAAGGAACCTCCTCCTATACAACCTCAGCATATCACTCAAAATGGACTGAAATTGGGGAGTCATTTCCTACAGATTGCATTCACTCTGCTTAGCCAAAGGAATGACACCTGGCAACTCAGAAGGACTGCTGTGTGACTGACAACATCATGAAAAGTATGACAAACTAAGAACGAGAAAAGCCCAGAAAATCCATCTAACTTGCAAACATGGGAGAGTGGAAACCAAAAGACCGCTCAACTCATCTATCTTACCCTTCCATTCAGGTCATGTGTAGAAATGGGCAACCATTGTAAATTCCCTCATATATTGGTTGCAAGTTGTTGTTGTATCAAAAACATCAAGGAGAACACATTTAGCTCCTCTTACTCTCAAGGATAAAATTATTGATTTAAAATCCAATATCACATATTGGTCACCCTAACAGTGAACCTACCCTGACCCGCCTGCTTGTTTCTCATGTGCACTGACTGAATCTGGCCTAGTACGTCAAGTGTGGTGTCACCAATGCTTTGGAATCTGCTGAAATATCCTTTCTGCAGGAAGCATCTCTTCCTTAATGCTGTAACTGCACTTTCAAAAAGATTTTAAACTTCAAAAGAAAATTAAAATGTCCTTATAGCTAAGTTTTGCACCCAGGAGAAACAAAGAATAGTAGTTTAAATGCAACATTTCAGCATAAATCTAGTATGTGCAAACCTGCACAACAATTACAAATGAGCCAAATTGCCTTTGAGATTGTTCTGGTCTGCAGGGTTTTATATGTCCTGCATGTTTGATACAACCATTCCCCACTTTTACAATCTTTGTGCAAAGATGCAATTGGACTTGACAGGTGACAGAAGAAGAGTGGAAAATTAGCGGGCTATCACCCGCTAACAGCTGGCACCAGTCTGAAAGAAACACGTCAATGCATAATGCATTATTGGTCTAAATATTTGATAGCGCACTGCAATACCAAGATTTAATAAAGAAGATAAAAAAGGAATTAAGAGCGTAAAAGAAAAAAAATTAATAACTGCACTGCGTTTGATATGATCTGTAAGTCAACCTATTTTACATATTGATGATGTTCCTCACAATACGTTTTTTAAAATTAAACAAAATAAACAAGCAAATATTACTAATAAATAAAGTACACTCCGATTTGTTTGATGTAAGTTACACATTAGGACTTTGATTTATTGATCAGACGTTAAATCTTTGACCTTGGAGAAATCTATGATGGAGAATAAATCCAATGTTCATTTAAAACAAAAGCTTGTTTTAGACATTCCTCAGAAATCTATAAATGTTATTCTATGTCTGGTCATTTTATTAACAGATATTTAAAGCTTTGGGGGAGCTTCATTATATGCAGATAGGTTTAGTTTTGTGACTTGAAAAGCTGTAACCTATCTTTTTTAAAGATCATTTGTCCTCCAATTTGATTTGTATATCATCAATTTCCAAACGTTCCAGGTTACCTTAGTTCCAACCCAATCTTTAATCATCCAACGGACTAATGACATTAAAATTACACACTACGGAAACCATCTACCGGGTCCACTTTCGACAGCTTGTCAATGTAATGAATACAAAAGTTGGTGCAGTATTGAAGATCTGCCACTCAATGCCAGTGGCATGGCTAGTAATACAATGATCACGTTTTAATTATAAAGTGTGCTAAAGCCATCTACAGGCTGGTCATTTTCACTGCAGCATACTTCTCTGCAGTATAGCTTTGGTCGAGCAAAGAACTTCTATCAATTAGACATTCAAGACTAAAACGACTCCTAGCTGCAAAACCTTAGATTTTGTTTTGGCTCCAAACTTATTCCTCGCAGTGCTGCATACAATTTCCTAAAAACAGCTGAATAAATTCAGATATGACAATGTGGCAGGACAACAGAGCACACGTTCAGAGTTCTGAAGGGCAAGCTTAGGAAGGACCAATACAAGAAAGTATTTTTTTTTTTACACACACATGGGATAATCAACAGCAGGAGTGGGATAACAGTGTTCCTGAAATAGTTAGATTTAGTACTTGGGAAATAATAGGTTTGGTAACCTGCAAGAAAGGGATCAAATGGTCTGAAAAGTCTTCTGCATCTGCACCTCTCTTGCCATCTTGAGAATTACATCACCTCTGGTCTGGTTGTTCCTCTTTTGATGTAATAATATTATTATTATTATTTTGATGTAAGAGTGAAAAAAAAGTAAACCCAGTCACTGTAAAACAGCCCTAAATAATGATTATTTATTTGTTGACTGGTATAGCTAATGTATAATAAATAATCTTTCCATATATTTTACATATCTCTGAGGAGCCCAACACATAATTCCCTAATGTCGATTCATAGTGCCTAATCTCTAGGGATTACAGTGGTATAGGTGAAGGGAATGGGAGTGGGGCTTGTGTGGAATAAAACACTGACGTGGGTTAATTGAGCTGAATCACCAGTTTCCGTACTATATCACTTTATGTCATATTTGATGTAGCAACTTATGACGTCATTGAAATGTCTCGAAGTGCTTCATAGGATTTTTACTACAGAGGTTAATGACTGCATTTTGGCTATTGCAGCAATCAGTTTAGAAGTATGAAATCAAATGAAATCATAGATGACTCTCAAATAGGTGTCAAAGACACCAAGAATCTATATGAAATCCACATTATTTGGCCTCCCTGGTTTGTGAAGAGCCCAAAACATGTAAAGGAAATTGGTGCGAGCTCTTGAGTAATCTGCAGCCTCAACTAGATGAAAGCTTTGAAATTGTTCCCTGCTAAGTGGCCTAATTTATACAGAAATGCATTGTCTGCAGTTAGTCATTTCAATTAAAGTAGTTAATAAAAAATTCCCAGCATGAACATATAAACAAACTATTAAGCATCATGTTTTTTTATGTGCTAATGGATAGTGGAATGTTAAGAATGCTGATTTTACTACAATTCGGGGGTTAATAATTCTTCGGGAGTCCAACTAAAGAGACAATAACCTTTTCACAAAGACCGGCCTGTGTTGCCTGTGGGTTAATGAGGATTGCAGTCGAGGTAGGGCAACAAGGCTGTCTTCTTATGAAGAACACTGTCAGTGAAACATGGAAGGGAAGATTTTAGATCAAACAAATTAAAGCCTCACTCATACCTTTTCTTTCTTGCATCCACCTGTCTGCAGACCCCCTGCCACCGTCTGTTAAGGCTGCTGAGTTTCTCCTTGAGGATTCCAGCGTCTGCTGTTGACGACTGGTCAATAATCTCTTTCCCGGTCACATTCAAAGAAGTGACAACAGCGTGCTGGCTTCCAATTCCATCCTGCAATTCCTGCAAAAACAGCAACGCTGAGAATTTAATCTCCTTATTATGAACCACTCCAGATAAATTCAAAAAGTAATGTTCTGCTCATGAGATAGGTTCTACTTTTTGTACAAATGGGCATCTCTGCTCCCAGCACCTTAGAGATAGGTAAAATATACTGCAACAAAAATCAGATAGAAAGGACTCTATTAAGGTGCTTGCAGAGCATAGTTATAAAACCATGAATTGTTGCTCCTTATGTGGGGTTATCTACAAATAATGATAAGCTGAACAAGAAAGCAACACTCTGGAGAAAAAAAAGTCTTGGAATTTAATGCGACATTAATACTTTTAATATCCATATAAAATGATCAACCTTCATTATATTTTTATTAGACTTCTGAAAAAAGAGTTGAAGGTGAATAACAGAGCACTCTGTCCTTTTGTGTAAAAGATGATAATTACTGCCTCTGGCAGCCCATGAACTTTACAATTACTGCATATTTCAGTTAACTTACATGTAAATCAATAATTTGTACCTTTTCTACGTGCAAAACTGAAAGCTCTCTGAAAGCTGGCTGTCGCTAGATTTAGATGCAAAGCTCAAGATCAATAGCCTTTTAGATTTTAAAATGTAATTTATGTTGCAGTAAATAAATTGGACCAAACCAAGTCCACTTATCAAGGTACAGTCTTGCCCTCTTGCCCTGCAGCTTTGACACAATGGTACAGTCCAAGGGAAACCATGAACTAAAATATAAATGGAGGTATTTGAGTGCAGAAGAAGAGGGCTAAATTTAGACCAACTGTATTTCCTCTGCTATGGAGACTCTGCCTCATGATGGAGGATGGCACAAGGCACATGGCACAAACCAAGATGGCACCATGAAATTCCTCACCCAGTTGAAATACAACAATCTGAAGGAAATTTGGGTGGGGGAAGAGAGAGTTAATTAGTGAATAGTATGAAATTAGGAGTGTTTCATAACGCAACAGTTATCACAGGAAAGCATTATGAATGCACATAAATTTCACCCCAAATCTCTAACTCACTGTTCTAAAGTCGGTTTCCATCATCCCTCTTTTGAAAGTAGGTTATCTAAAATTACCCAGTGTAATTACACACAGTGTCAAGAAATGACATAGAGGAGAATACTTGCAATATTTCAAATTTCATTATTAATGATGCTAAGCCATGTGGATTGATGACTAATACAAGGAGGATGAATATCATTCAACAAGATCCACAGGAGGCCCTCTGATGTGGATAAAGACACTGCCTGGTGCAGCACGCACTCATGCACTGCCAATTCTGTAGGCCACAGTGCAATACCGTTTGCAAAAACAAACTTTCTTCAGTATGAAAAAGTGTGATACCTGCACGAATCACCGCAATTTTCCTCTCTCCCAAAAACGGAGAGTATAAACCGGGGATGAGTAAGCCTGACCTGAAAGCAATTCGTGCTGGAATCCCGGTATCCTAATTGTTCCACTGTGTTATATTTCAGCAATACATGGATTTGTACATGGACATGTGCATGGATTTGTACTGCTGAAATATAAACACAGTGGGTGCAAATAGATTTGGGTTCTGCTCAGAAATGATCCCTGAAACCTTTATAGGATCATTTTTATTAAAATGTACTTTAAGAGACTGTTTTGTCACTGGCTCTTTGAAGACCATTAAAAAATTATCAACCAATATCAGAATTCTGTGTGTGTGCTTAGCTGTGTGCACAGAACTCTCTGCCCTGGCCAATGCAATTAGGGGAGGGAAATATAAATCAGGTTTTACACTTCCAGTTAATTTACTGCTGATAGCAACATTGCTTTGCACAGGCAGTGTAAACTGGGTATGCAATATTATACATTTCCAATAGGACTCCACTATGAGTTTAATCTATCTTTGTACCAACAGCCAGCAACTATGTGAATGGGAAGTACTAAGGCTGCATGTCAAGTTCTCAGCCAAATCTAAAAAAAGTGAGAAAGAGCTCTCTTATTCAAACTCAGCTAAATTTCCAAGGAAAACTTGGGAAAATTCTGATAAGATCAGCATAAATAATTTCTGTCAAAGATCCTCAAAGTGACATAAAATTCCCTTAATCCAGGTAAAATAGCAGATTAGCAGTTTCCAAATGTATTAAGAGAACAGAAATTTATTTTGAATCAATACATTCAGAAATTAATTGTAAAAAAGGATGTTTTTAAGGAAATTTATGATAAAAGTACAGTTTTCCCCAATAACTATTTATTGACGATTCTTTGAATGCATCTAGTCAACACGAAAAGTTCTCACAATATGTTGGAATGTATCTCAAGGACACTTGACTGCAAGTCAAAACAATTTATTTCAACGTCTCACCGTTTGTTGTGAAGTCATTATTTAAAATTTTTGGGGTGAAAAATACAATTCAATATAAAGTGAGGATGGTAAATGTGTTTATTCTGGGTTAGGGAAGCGGTATTGTAATGGTTTTTAACTAGATGTATCACTCCAAAAAGACTCGTCCTGATTGGCTCACGGCAGCGCCTCAGCACCTCAGGCACTGGGAGCATCAGCATCCACGGATGCAGACTCCATCTCACCAAGCCAGTCAGGAAACTGGGCATCTTGTTTGACCCTCAACTGTCCTTTCTCCCCTACATCCATGCCATGATCTGCTCTGCCTTCCCCCACTTCATAGCATTGCCCAACTCCCCCATTGTCTCAACCCTCAGGGCGCCGAAACCCTCACTCGTCACCTCAAGGCTCGACTACAGAAATTCCCTCCTTGTTGGCCTCCCCAACTCTTCCCTCCACAAGCTGCAGATCATACAGAACTCTGCAACTCGTGTCCTCTCTAGCACCAGACTCTGTGATCTTGCCCCCTCGTACATCTCTGACCTGCTGCCCCACTATCAACCTGTCTGCTCCCTCTGCTCAGCAGGCTCCAGCCTGCTCCACGTCTCTCGCCCGACCAGCCCTACCATCGGCAGCCAGGCTTTCAGCCTCTCTGCCCCCACCCTTTGGAACTCTATCCCACAATCTCTTCACCTTGCTCCCTCGCTTGCCTCCTTCAAGACAAGGCACGACTCAAGACCCTCCTTTTTGACAGTGCCTACAGCCGCCCCCCTATCCCTTCTTCCCTCCCTCATCCCAACCCTGTCCCACCCACACTCGGGTCCTGATCCCTGACTGTTCAGCACCTTGGGACATCCCGATGTGAAAGGCACTTTAGAAATGTAATTTTGTTATTGTTGTTGCTACACAGCCGGAATAAAAGTTTTTAAAATAATAATCTTTGACATCTGGTATAGCATTTTTCAGCTTGGGAGGACATCCGTAAAGGGCTTCACAGAATACACTGTAAAGTGCAGTGACTGTGGGTTTTGTGGGTGAATACGGCAGCCAATTTGCATGCAGCAGTGTCCCACAAATGGCCATGAAATGAATGATCAATTTTAGGTTAGGGAATTATCAGCCAGGACACTGAGAGAAACTCTCTTCTCTTTTTCAGTAATGCAACCCTTGCTAACAAGGAAAGAACAAGAAGCAACTTGTAATATAAAAAGGCTGTGAGCAAAAAAACAGGAGTTGAAACCCAGACCTGGCAATAAGTCCAGATTTTAAGAATGTTATTTTAATGGGATTTTTGTCTTAGAACAAAAAAATTCTAGACCAAAAAAGACCAAGGTCCATCTAGGTTGCCTTCTACCTTGCTGGTGGTCGCATGCACATATGTCCCAAACTACCTCTGTACTATATCCCATAATGTTATTTCGTAAAAGAAAACTATCTAATCTGTGTTTGAAAGAATCTACACTTCCTGCTTCGTCCATCTCCCTAGGGAGCCTGTTCCGTAGGTTCACTATTCGCTTATTGAATTAGTGTCTGCATAGAAAACGCTATCCTTAATTAAGGAACATTGTTGATGAACTGAATGCATTATGAATATTGCATTCCCTCCTGCCCTATTTCTTTATTATATAATATTTATATTTAATAGTTGCTGTTCCACAGCATCCTCCATTACTCCCTGATGCCTTTAGATCGCAGAAGTACAAATGATGTGATCCTCACAGGCACAACAGCAACAGAAAGCAGAGACAGTTCTGAAAGATGAAGACATGTGTTTGATCAAATCTGCTCTTTTTTTCTATCTTGCCACATTTGACTGTTAAAAAAACAGAGTACAGTCCTCCTATAATACTCTTGCATACTTCTATGCTCATAAAGTCTAACCGCAGGACATTCCGAGTCATGGCTAGCTAGATCATCACTCAAGCGTGGAAACTCGATTAGGTCAATATTATATTAAAGGTGCTACAACTGAATTTTTGCTACATGTTCTTCTCCAAATGCAAACCAGTGCCAGGCTTATAACTGTGCATTATTATATATGCTGAACATTCTCGCAATACAAACCATGACTGTTCTTACGTGAAAAGTGATTGCATGTACCAACTGTGAGCTTCCTGGGTAAACCTCAACCATTCAAATGTAAAATTACTGTCTATAATCATCATGTTTCGTTCTGGATGCAGGTGAAAGCCCACATTCTTCTGCACTATGGAGTCAGGAAAGAGGTGGGGGATTGCACATGTGATGTTAATAGTTAATGCTGGATAAGAGATGAAGGGAGAGAAAAGGAAGATGTTTCACCCCAAAGTCAGTGACTGGGTTTAACTGCATTTTGGTCAATGTGATAATTATCACCAGCAACATCACAGGTTGCATGACCTCTAATAACAGTACTGCTCCAATACACTACAGTTTCAAAAAGGATTTGTCTATGCATCAGAAGCAACCTTCGTTCAACTGCTGTAATCATACTCCTCAAATGACTACAAAGAGGAAATCTTGTGCCAAATAGATCTTTTCTCTAAATAAATTACAATCCTAATCTAGCTGTGTCTGTTTAGGTTTCTTACATTTTTTAGACTCAGCCATCCTCTACCACCCTTGGAAAAGGCTACCCCCTGAGACCATCACAAAGGCCCTCTCATCATCAAACATCCTATTCCTCTGGCCTTCCACCCGCGGG